GTATATGCACTTCGTCTAGGAGCCTCTTTTCTCTTGCGGAAAAGCAGTTGACAAGCAGCCTGACCATCCTTTTTTTTGGTATGCTTTGTGGCCACATTCAATTCGCGATGAAAATCAAAATAATTATATGTTACATAAAACATCCTTTATACAGAAAAGAATAGTTAGTCTTTTTTTCAACAATTATGAAAATCAAAATAATTACATATTACGTAAAACATCCTTTATACATAAAAGAATAAATAGTCTTATTTAGGCTGTCATAACCATTAGGTTGACATACTCTTTACACATATATACATAAATTTATTTAAAATGAAAATTGTTATAAACATAAATATAAGTATAACATTTGATAACATACATATATTTTTTATCCACATAGTACAATGATTCGATCAGCCCAATGGTTAGGCCTTCTCAATCCAAAATTCATAAAAAGGGAAAAACTAGGTTTACTTTTAACTTGGCTTTATTGGGGTTTACTAGACATGGCTGAAACCCAGTTTTAAGCCGGTTTCGGGTCTGACCCGCCGGTTCCGAGTCGTTTGGTAGAAGACCTTGAACCGGCCCATCTATATGTACGTGTTGGTTCAATGAACTGGCCCAAACCACTGGTTCATGCCCGGTTTCGGGACTCTTTTTTAGAAAATAAAATAAAATAAAAATTGACCGATAGATTTCCAACGATCAGATTGATTGTGCGGCCTAGATTCAATTTGGCTGTCGGGTCCTCAACGATCGACCCGACCAGCCGGGACAAAAAAATAAAAAAGAAAAGGTCGAAAACCCAGACCGTCTTCCAGCCCGGACAAAGAGGACTAAAAAAATTTAAGACCCAAATATATACGAGCCGGTTCCGGGCCGACACCGGCCATGTCTAGGGGTTTTCCGTTCATGGAATTCGTGTAAATATTTGTTCGTGAAAATCTACTCATTTTGGACTGTTTGTTTTTTTCGAAATGATAGATTTTATAGATAGAAAATCATAATTACAACTAAAAAACAACTAGAATGAGCCAAACAACCATCTAAGTGGATATAGGGGAAGCCTACACAGAGTAGACATCAAAATTACACTAACACAACCACATCACACACAAGCTATTCATTTCCAAGAGGGAGAATCAACTTCAACAAGAAGAATAAAACAACCAATAAGGCAATAAAAGAAAAAAAAACACACACACACACACACAAACAACACACAAACACCAACTACTAGAATAAAGCCCTCCTCGGACCGCAGACAAACAGCAACACAAAACGACTGCTCGACCCTGGAGACGACCCGCCAAAAGGAACGGAACCCAACCCAAAAAAAGAACCCAAAACTCCTGCAAGCGGCTAGCTGGACGGCCTGGACCCTCAGAAGTGAATACTCGACCCGACCAGTAGTAGTTTACTCATTTTGAAGTTTTTTAGTTTTTAGGCTCGTAGTTTACTCATTTTGGACTGTTATTTTGTGACCATCTTCAACCAAAGTCTCCATATTATTTTTTAAATCCGGAAATTATTTTGCTCATTTCTCGAGTAGATTCAACTTCAATTTCCAAATTCCTTTCTAACCGAAGCAGGTGTAAGAAGGGGCAAGAGATGCCTCTCTTGGCTTAATAGAATAGTTTTTTCAGTAAATAAGTGAGATGCATGCAGTTTAAAAACAAATGGGTTTTTATCAATAACTAAGCATTCAGTAATATCATTTAATAAATGGCTTCACAGTAAGACCTATTGGTTTTACAGAATCACGGCCTAGTTATTATTTTGGTATCAATTTCTCAATACTTAATCTTCCAATATCCATAGGTTGAAAGTTGGATTAAATTTGCTCATAGAAAATCAAAGTTCAAAGTGTTGGCCAAAAACCAAAACCCATAAAGAACAAGGGACGCTTTCGAGTACCTGAAAGTCAGCTGCTGGGGCAAAGCATTCCGACCGGCTGAGTGACGCAGGTTTTCAATCGAACATGAACTTGTAAGTTACATGTCAAAATTGTAGCTGGACAGATAAAATGAATAAGGATATTGAACATACAGATTAAATTGAGAAACTTGGCAAATAAAACCATAAAAAAAAACTGAAAAATTTTATTCATGGACCAGATATGCAGCAACCACAGATAGAGCCAGAAAGAGAGAGAGAGAGAGAGAGAGAGAGAGAGAGAGAGAGAGAGAGAGAGAGAGAGAGAGAGAGAGAGAGAAAAACCATAAGATAATAAAATTACTAGTCATTTCAAAAGAAGAAAACTGCGAAAAATAAATTGTTTTCAATGTGTACTTTCAGGAGAATGATGTATCCGACTTAAATTGACCGACTCTGACACCATAGCCTCAGATGCCTCAGACAACGCATCAGAATTAAGCAAGGGATCATACTTAACATCTACCAACTCCAATTCCTCATTTATTATACCGGGCCTCAAGGGAACAACTTCGACAAGTTCGAAAGGAGTATCAGATCCTTCGACCCTTTCCTCAGGCAAAGGCTCGCTGTCTTTTTCATGCTTCTCAAGGTCCATGTCAGCAGCTGCCTCTTTGAGATTTTCAGTCATAACATTACCAGCCGGTTTGTCAATATCATGTTTCATGGCCTCAGTTTTGTCCTCGACGCCCTGCATGCAGTCTGTGGGATAAAGCTTCTCGGTTTCATCTTCTTTAACGATTTTATCCTCCTGGTTGGAATTTGAGATGAAGACGTCCGAAAGGTTGGGTTTCTCACCATATTCAGCACGAAAGTTCTCCTTCTGCCTCTTATAGAGAGACATTGATCTCTGCAGATCATGAGATGACAAAATTAGCAAGATGCTAATACTACACATAACACAAAATTAATAACACGAAATACAACAAAGGCAAAATAATACAAGCCACATAGCAAGAACTGCTTATAACTTCCCTCGTGTGTGTGTGTGTGACTTGGTACAACTGTCTCCAAACTACTCAATGTGCGAAATATTATGGGACATATATAGATGGATGCTTAGCCACAGCACACACACACACACACACACACACACACACGTGGATAACATTCGCAACAATATACCTTAAAAACTGAGTCATCAGAAGACGCAAAAAGTGTAACACTCAAAAGTCCAGACGATCCCATTTTTGCTTCCGCATCCTGCCATGCCAAACCAAAATAAAAGAAAAAAATTGAGGACCAACTCTACGGAAAATTCAAGCAAAACCAAGCAAATGCACCTTACCTCCATATACAAAATTTTAGAATCGTCCATAGCTGAAAACATTATCTTATCATCAATCAAGCCTGTGCACTTATCAAACAACTCAGGCTCAGCAAGCTCTGCCGAAAGATCAAGCTTTGAAAGGTAAACACTGCAGAGGGGCACATCATCCTTTTCCGGCATCTTTCCAACACCACCACCACTGTCTCCCGAACTAACAACAGCAGCCCCAATTTCTTCATTCTTTTCAACAGTCTTAGCAGACTGCAGAACATCGTCAGCGCCGTCCACCGTCACAGCTTGGCTCTTCTCATTTGGTGGCGGCTGAACAGAATCACTTCCCAGAGCTTCATCCCCACTTCGAATTGAGTTGTTCTCCTTCTCGTAAGAAGGAAAATCCACACTCGGGGTCCTATTAGCCCCCTTCCACAAATCCCCACTCGTCTCCCAGCCTCGTCCACTGGAAACATTCCTGGCAAGGTCCCACTCCGGCCTCCCCACAAAAATGTGTGGCTCGTCCCCAAACAGAGCACTACTTGTATCCCACCCGTGCAACGGCGGAGGACATGGGTCGTCCAGCTGGCTCCGCCATCCCAAAGGCCGGCCGGGACCCACAAATCGGTCGGCATCCGGCACATGGTAAGGGGAAGGGTGGTGACTCAGCTCCAAGGATGGACGGATGCCAAACATTGGCGGGGTGTGAAATGGCTGCATGACAGAATGGAAGCCGACAGGCGGCGGGGCATGCGGGAAGGGCAAAAATCCATTGGGCACGGGGGGCGGCCAAGTCTGGACCCCCCTCCACGCATTATTGTTCCCTTGCATTCTTCCAATGTTGGGATCACCCATCCTCCTGTGGCGCATGTTGGTCTTTCTGTGGCTATCGTCCTCACCCGGGCCCAATAGGGAAGGGGGCGGAGGGGGCATCAGTTTGGAGCTGCTGGTGTAGTGACTGTTCCGGGCAAAAGGTGAAGAAACAGATAAGGTGTCGGTATCAGCATGTTGTATAAGATCTTCAGAAGGGTGTACATCAGTACCAAATTCGTGGCTTGTCCTGCCTTCCCTAGCATGATAGTCCTTCCAATCTCGGACTCCGCCACTCCTTTGTGTAGACTCATCCACATCAATGTTACGTCGTACATTGAATGGTCTCCTGTCAACACTCGACGATGGGGATTTCTCAACTAGTGGGAGGGGTGAAGAACGGATATCGGGCTTGAGGCGTCTCTCAGAAGGTAAATCTCCAAAATGGGCACCATCGTCCTTTTGACCGGTCTTATTGAATGACCGAGACGGAGTCTTCTCAAGACCAGCATGGTCTCGAGACAAATTCATGCTGTGCCTCGATCTCTCCTCGTAACTGTAATCCCTGTACTTTGACTCATCTTGCTTCCCTGCCCTGATTGATGTTTAATAGAAGTGTGAAGACATCAGCTCAGAGAATATGGCTATATATGATGTACAGTCTAATATTTAATCTTTTAAAATCTACAGCCAAGCCTGTCGAGCTGAATTATTAACAAGATCAAACTAGCATGGCATATTTGATTTAAATTCACATCTTTTTCAAGCTACAAAGGGGAAAAAAATACAAAATAATAACGTATGTTTCATGTTCAACATAAAATTGGTCAAAGAAGATCCAAAAAGACATTTAAGTGCACAACATAACTATGTAATTATTTATAAATCAGCTTGATTAATAATATACAACATAATATAAAAGGAAGCAACTTGCAGCCTTTTCCACTCCCAAAAAAAAAATAAAAAAATTGAAGACTTCAAGGATGGAAAAAATAAAAATGAATAAAGCAGCAAGAGAACATGACACAGAGGATGTAGGTGATTAAATAAAATGAGAGTCAGAGAAAACATAATATTATTCAGTTATAACTCAAAGAACTTGTACGCCAAAAAACAAAAGGTGTACCAAGATGGAACAAGTAGTAAGATTTCATAATACGGACAGGCTTCACTCGTCCTAACTACCACAAGGGAGATCAAGTACCGCAGCAAAGTAACATCTACATTCATCCAGCAGAAATAGTCCAATGTGTTCAGATAACCAAACATTCAACTACAGTTGTACATACCCAAGAAAAAGTAAAGAAAAAATCTCCCGACACTAAAACTGTAAAACATCTATTAACCTCATATATTATTAACTTGAGATCATTACCTCTCATTTCATAGAGTTGAAAGGTCTCAAACTTAGGGTGTGTTTGTAAAAAAAAAAAAAAATAGTCTATTAACTCAAAATGAGTTTTTTTAGTTAACTAAGGTTGATATAGAAAAAGTGTTATAGTTAGTTGTTAGTGGGATTTTTTGAGTTTATATTAAAATAATAATTAAAATTGGTTTGATGTAAAAGTAGGAGAGAGAGGATATGAAGTGATGATTAGTTAAAATTATGTTAGTGGATGAATAGTTAATTAAAGTTGATATGATGTGTAACAATGATTGGTTGTTATTATTTAATGATTGATTGTTATTATTTAATTATATTGATAATATTGAAGATAGTGAGGTTTGAGTTAAAGTTAAGTTAGACTTTGAGTATGAATTAATTTGGTTTGAGAATTTTCTTTTACAAACATAGCCTTATAATCCCGTGCGCCCGACATACAAATGTTGATTTAATACTGAACAGACATTAATAACAAGATGAACGGCAAACCACTTCAGCACTGTAGCAAATATGTAAGTATCTAACCCCATACCTCTGCGCGTGAGAACCTGGAGTCGGCGAAGCCCGCCTTCTATTGTGGCTTGATGTAAGTTCCACATCAACATTTCTGGAAGACCTCACTCTATCACTACCTGGATCCATCCTTCCACTGCTGGCACTTTTCTTTTCAGAATCATATCTTTGATCCTTCGAGCTTCGGGATTTAACATCGCCATAATCCTCCTTCTCATTAGTTCTCCTCCTGCCTTGATCATCTCGATACCTGCCCGCTCGATCATCGCGTGTTGGACTTTCATCATAAGCGCTTGATTTCCTAACATAGTTATCAGCAGCATAACCATCATCCCTGTAACGCTTGGGGTCAGACTTATCTCCCGACCGGTCTCTCGAGGTATGCTCGTCCCTAAAGTTCGAGTCCCTCGGTCTCTTCTCTCTATCGTATCCATCCCCTTGCTTACTGTCCTTATACCGAACATCTCTCTCAGTATCCTCCCGATACTTTCCTTCCTTGTGCCTATAATCTCTATCACTTTCGTCTCTGTACCTACTATCCCTAGGCCTGTCATCTCTGTCCTCATCCTCATAGTACCTTTCGTCCGCATCTCTGCCATCCTTGTCACCATCTTCGTGATCTTGGTCTTCACGGTACTTATCGTCTTTTCTGCTTTCTCTATCCGCACCTTCATGATACTTTTCCTCCATCCGCCTGCTGTTTCGTTCCCCATTGTCCCGGCGTTTCTCATCCTTGCGCCTGCTGTCTCGATCAACATCTTCACGATGCCTATCGTCTTTACGCCTGGAGTCTCTCTCACCATCTTCCCGATATTTTTCATCGTGATACTTATTATCCTTGTCTGCTTCTTCCCAGTACTTCTCGTCCCTCCGTCTGTCGTCTCTGTAGCCGTCTTCCTGGTATTTGTCCGCATGGATTCCATCTTTATGCTTGTCATCTCTGTATTTCAAGTCCTTGGAGCGCTCAATTTTGGATGACGACCATCTCACTTCACTTTCTTTGGGTTCTTCATAATATTTCTCTCGTTCACTGGAGTTCCCTATTTTCTTGTGCGGCTTTTTCTCTATATCCTTGTCCAGATCAAGATTTCGCAAATAATCCAAAGAAGTGCGATCTGCTAAAACAGGTGACTGAAAATCAGAAATCCTATGAAGTCCCATAAAAGTGACAGCACAATTGTAGCAGACACTGGAAATACAAATATACCAATTATCTAGGCTGAAATAAGCAAAAAGAGACTGTCAAATATCTTGCAAATAGTTTTCTTTGTTGACCTGGAATTTGGTTGCATCAAACAGAAAAGGGTAAGGCAGGAGCATATACAATCAGGCCCGAGCATCAGTTTAGGCACAAATAAAATGTCAGGGGAATGCAGCTTCTACTCAAACAAAGAGCAACAGCTAAAACATCAAGAAAAAGAAACATTGATACCTAAAATCTATCAACCAAAAAATTTAGATAAAAGTCTAAACAAATAAAAAGTCTAATGGCATCAGTTCAAATTCTAATGAATATCTTCTTCATCTCAATAGGTGCACGAATCACCTTACCTTGTATTTATGAAAACAAACAGGAAAACCAGGCATTGTGACCTTGCTCATTCTACTTTATTCAACTTAAATTCACGAACACTTTAAAATTCTTTTCTGGATGTACATATCATCATTTCAACTAAACCAAACCAAATCACCACAAAACCAATATTGAAAATATTGCATCTTTAAGATCAAGTGTTCAAAAGCAAAAACTTACTTATGGTGCACCAAAGATGGCGAAAGTCCAGTAGCCGAAATATAAGAGGTTTTTTCAATGAAAAAAGAAGGGCCTTTACCATTCTTTGTAATGCAATCAACACAGATATGTTGGTTAAATAAAGAAAACAATTTCAAATCATCAGAAGGAATACGTACACATCATTCTAATAGATAGCGAGAAAGAAAAAGTCAAAGTGGTTTGGATTGGATCATCAACATAAAAGAAAAAAGGTAAAGGTTGGGCTACAGATCAACAAGAAAATTATATTAACCATGAATTTTGATACCACCAACAAAAAGTTACCTTACCATTATTTTCTCGAGATCGTTTACTCTGTCTCTCCCCAACTAAATCTACCGACTGAGTCCCCTGCTTCTTTCCAACATCAAAATCCACCAATTTCATATCAGCATCACCACTCTTGCTCTCATGTCCCCCATTCTTCTCCCTTTCTGACCTGCGATCCTTGTCCTTTGACTCCTTCCCGTCTTTACGCGAAGAGGAATCCCTCTCAGACTTCCGCTTTGACTCGCCTTTACTCTTACTCTCCTCTTTCTCTACCACTACAGATGCTACAATGTCTTCTTTTCTCTCTCCAGCAGATCCACTTTCGCGCCTTTTACTCTTACCCTTAGATTCGGACCTCGTGCTTTCGCCTTTAGTGCTATTCTCCTTTGATTTGTGAATCTCCTTCTCAAGCTTCAAACTCTCCACTTTATGAATTTCTTTCTCCACAATCTTCTCACTATTTGCCCCCTTCTCTTCTCCACCCTCCTTCCACCTATCGCCACCAATAACAGTGTCAGTTTTCTCTTTCCGCCGCTTGGAGGAAACATACTCCTCCACAACATCTCCATTCCCATGGCCATTCACATCCCGATCGCCCTTAACCTCACGCAACTGAGATGAGATTTTCCGCTTCTCACCAGATGCCGACTCCCTATGGCCACGTGTGGAGCTCTCATCCTTGCTGCTTTTCACCTTCATCTTCACTACATCCTCTTCAGAGTCGGAATAACCCTTCGAACTATGCTTGCTCTGTTTATGAGATTTGTGCCTCGAATTTTTAGGCATATCTGCAACCCTCGCAAAGACAAATAAATATTGAAAGTATAACTAACTACACACTAAACAAAAGCCCTATTTCCCACACTCCGGCTACCAAAACGCACTGATCGCTGGAAATTGTTCTATTTTTCCACCCCCAAAATGGATAAGGGCAGTCCACCACAAAATAGCAATCAGAAAAATGCTCTCGGCTCTAGCCCTCAGGAAATCAGAAACCCTAATTCAACCAATCACTACCAAAAAAGAAAAAAAAAAAAAAACTTGA